ATACAATGCGGGGGCGGGGATACAGGGGACACAATACGGGGGACGGGATACCAGCCCATCCCAGGAGATACAATGCGGGGGACGGGATACAGGGGACACAATACGGGGGACGGGATACCAGCCCATCCCAGGAGATACAATGCGGGGGATGGGATACAGGGGACACAATACGGGGGACGGGATACCAGCTCATCACAGAAGATACACACACGCACATTACAGACAATTTAGACACAGGTTAGCCACTTATTTGTACAATAAAAACTTTATTTTCAATATATATATATATATATATATATGTATGTATATATATATATATATATGTATGTATAACTAGATGTACATTTTCCAAATGTCCATAATTAAATTAATTTGTACCTAGGTAGTAGTCTGTATGAGGAACAGTGTACAGCTGTACAGAAACAGTAGCAGACACAATCCACACATTGTGCTTTGTTCATACATAATGTCACTAGAACATACTAATAATCTGCAGCATTTATTATATCGACATTAGGCATGCGTACAACAACGTTCCAGACGTTTCATAAAAATTGAACATTAAACGACACAACATCCTTGTTTTTAGGCTCGGTCTCCCAGTGGGCGTCTCTCCTGTTACTCTCTCTGTTAGTCTCTCCTCTCCTGTTACTCTCTCTGTTAGTCTCTCCTCTCTCTGTTAGTCTCTCCTCTCCTGTTACTCTCTCTGTTAGTCTCTCCTCTCTCTGTTAGTCTCTCCTCTCCTGTTACGGGCTGTCCCGTGGTCATTGACTGCTTTACAACTTACACAGAGCATGTGAGACAGAGGCCAGGAGCTCACGGCTAAGCTTCAGACTCTCAGTAGCGGGGGAAAAACATAGCTTTGGGAAGTTTGTTTATTATAACATTTTTTGGTAAAAAGTAAAGCAAAGAGGATAATGCCCTGTCTATGAAATGAGCACGGATTATCATACCCTGAAAAGTGCCTTGGAGTGAACTCTTAGGGCTAAACGCCGATCACAGGGGGCTGCGCTTATGTCCCCTTCCTTGCAGTTACACACCCTCACTGTACATCCCCTTTCATTAGTGTGTGTCAGCCCCTGTACACAACGAGGTAAGGCTGATCGGGACTCTGCAATGTCAAATGACTCTAATTGAATCCCTTTTCATTCATACTCATATTTTATCTGTGTTCACATTATGTATTTCATATACACTATTTACATAGAGGATTTCTATGTATTTTTGTTTAAGTGTTATTCACAGATAAATACAACACAAGAATTCTTATGGAAAAAGTCAGTGTGAGACAAGTCAACATTCAGTTTTAATGCACAGAAAACCAGATAATTCAGCTGGACACTTTTTCTTCTATATTAAAAATAAATATAACTTTGCAGCAGTAACATAGTGAAAAAATTGTATATACATGACATAAACCGGATCAGAATCACATTATTTCTGCACACTGAGGGACTTTCTTGGGCGTGTTCTTGTTTTTGATGTAATTTCTTTGGGAAAATAACACTTTATTCCAGATTTAATTGAATTTGAACTAAAACAATTCTTTTTGAAACAACTATAGTACTCAAGGGTGTACTTTAAAGGAACATTACCCCCTATATCGAGTATTTTTAAATGCTGGATCTCATAACTGTGTTTAGTAGTATTAACTATTTACTACAGTTAGCTTGAGTTAGCGGCTAACAGTGCTGCATCATGGTCACACTGGCAGAAGCCATCTTCTGAGCCAACTAATCTAGCTTACATTCTACTCATGTTCCTCCAAATACAACTGGGTATCACATGCCAAAGTAGTTCCAAAGATAGCAGTACCCCAGTCATCCAAGGCCAGCTGCCTCTCACGCTCATCACGCACTTCCACATTACTGCAGACATCAGACCACCTCCCTATCATTATTCCCATGATAGACGCACACAAAGGGCATCTTCAGCTTCAGCTACACCCTTGTCTAAACAAACATACAAACAAACAGACGAAAGTAATCTCCATTCAGGTCACTATGACCTCAGTGCACAACTGAAGGAGGGTGGTGACCTTTGACCCGGAAGGGAACCGGCACTCTTGTTACGCCCCCTACATGGTGTGCACCCTCGCACTGACACTAGGCAACCCCGGAGTCTTACTGAGGCTCTTTCCAGAAAGGCGAATTTTCCATTAATTAGCAATCCTGTTTGCTGATCTGCAGCACTGCACACGCTTGACCCTTACGCTTTCCAAATAGGCAATCTGCACCTACGAGGCCTAGCTAGTGTCCTGCCCTTGGGCGTATACAATGAACAACATCCCTTCTGCCCTGTGATGGGCCACTGAAAGCCAAACCAGCCGCTCATACAAAGAGGACATTCTAATGTGCCCGAATAAGTCTGTAGTGCTGAGAGGATCTGTGGGCTGTTCTGTGAGGGACAGTATCTGCCTGAGAGGTGACAGCTCTCACCCACTCTGCCACAAACACCCAGACAACGGCAAACTAGTGTGTATTCATCTACAGATTAATCTCCATCATTCTGCAAAAGAGTGGATACAAACCAGCTATCGATTTCAAACAAGCAGCAGGTATTTTCAGACTGCGGGTTTGGAACATGACAAAATATTTATGAGGGTTACACATTTATTTTGGAACCTTCCCACCTATTTATCATCGCTACTGACATGCAGCCAGGGGAAGAGGGCCAGATTTAGGAGATCCCCATCAATACCTGGAAGCTGGCAGTGGGGCCGGGCGCACAGACTTTGTAATCACCGTGTAAATTCACCAGCACGCTGAGTCCCACCACCACACGCATATTTTATGAACGTTCATAAAGCAGAAGGCTAAGAATCACTTTCATGTGGGACGGTACATCCTGTGAATGTCAGGGATTATTTTAAAGGTGAAAAGGAAACACTTAGCCTACTGTGGCCATTATCCACAGTGTTATCCACAGACTATAGGCTGGATGCAGCACGTATGTACACTGCGCTGGATGTACCCTCCACTGGATGTACGCCCTTCTAGATATACCCTCCACTGGAGGTACGCCCTTCTAGATGTACCTTCCATTACATGTACGCCCCTCTGGATGTACCCTCCACTGGATGTACGCCCTTCTAGATGTACGCCCCTCTGGATGTACCTTCCACTGGACGTACGCCCCCCTGTATGTATCCTCCACTGGAACTACGTCCCTCTGGATGTACACCCCTCAGAATGTACTCTCCACTGGATGCGCACTCCTGTGGATGTACCCTCCACTGGATGTACGCCCCTCTGGATGTACCCTCCACTGGACATATGCCCCTCTGGATGTACCCTCCATTGAGCATATGGCCCACTGGAGGTACCCTCCAATGGACGTACCCCCCTCGCCTCCTCACAAGTGGTATTTGCGCAGCAGCTCTGACTGCCACATGTACTTCCTCTCGGGAAAGCGTTCGGGGATCTTGATCTTGTGGAAGTCCTGGATGCACTTCTCGAGCTCCTCCTCCACAGTCATCTTCTCCTTGGCAGGCTTCTTCTTGCCACCAGAACCTCCTCCACTGGTGTCACGGGAGCCGGCAGTCAGCGTGCGCAGCAGGTCGCTCTTCCTACGCACCTCAGGCTGCTGCAGGATCTGCACAGGCCCCTTCTTAGCGGGTCGGTCCAGGGTCTGTATGTTGCACTGGCGGCTGACAGGTCCGCAGATGACGGTGCCCTGTGGTGAGCTTGCCTCCGACTGGCTCTCTGAGCTGGAGGTGGTCAGATCATGTCCGGAGGTGCCGCTCTCGCCCTCGCGATCGCCCTTGTGGGTCTTGCAGCAGCAGTCGCAGTGAGGAGACGACCACCTTGACGACCCACCTGGAAAAGATAAGCCAGAGATCAGAGGGACCGGGGCTAGGAAAACAAGCCAGCTGTGTGAAGCAGCACTTCACTGTGATCCATAAAGTTATAATACAACTTCACTATATAGAGAAACCAGCCCAAAGTATGGTGGAGACACAGCATTTCTGATAATGTGAAGGATAGGAAGCCCCCATTAATAATTTAATCTAGGTGGGGTTCTGATCAATGACAAAATAACATACTCTAAGATTTTTACTCTACAGTGTAGCTAGCTGTTGTTAGCTGCCACCCTGCTGTTAGGTACCAAACTGCTAGGTACGTCCCTGCCCGTTAGGTACCTCCCCGCCGGTTAGGTACCTCCCCGCCCGTTAGATACCTCCCCGCCCGTTAGGTACCTCCCCGCCCGTTAGGTACCTCCCTGCCCGCTACGTACAGTACGTCCCCGCCCGTTAGGTACCTCCCCGCCCGCTAGGTACCTCCCCGCCCGTTAGGTACGTCCCCGCCCGTTAGGTACCTCCCCACCCGTTAGGTACCTCCCCGCCCGCTAGGTACCTCCCCGCCCGATAGGTACCTCCCCGCCCGCTAGGTACCTCCCCGCCCGTTAGGTACGTCCCCGTCCGTTAGGTACGTCCCCGTCCGTTAGGTACGTCCCCGCCCGCTAGGTACCTCCCCGCCCGTTAGGTACGTCCCCGCCCGCTAGGTACCTCCCTGCCCGCTTGGTACCTCCCTGCCCGTTAGGTACCTCCCCGCCCGCTAGGTACCTCCCCGCCCGTTAGGTACCTCCCCGCCCGCTAGGTACGTCCCCGCCCGCTAGGTACCTCCCGGCCCGCTAGGTACGTCCCGGCCCGTTAGGTACCTCCCTGCCCGTTAGGTACCTCCCTGCCCGTTAGGTACGTTCCTGCTGTGGGCAGGATCCCTCCAGCGTAAGTGGGACAGGGGTCAAGGAACATGAAAAGCTAAATTCCATGTGTCATTTTGAGAGGCCAGAATTTGCACACAGGTCTGTTAGCGAAAGGTTGACTGAGGCCATGCTTAAACTCCAGAGCCAAAGAAGATTCTGACCACAATCAATTATGTTGCCAGTTTAAGTGCTTGCAGTGTGCTTACAAATGATCCTTAAGGAGGGATTACAGTCACACTACACGGGGACTTGATTTCTGACTAAAAGTGACAGGAATAAAAACAAAATTATCTACACACCCACACACACAGAGAGCAGCGTTGAATCACAGACATCTTTCTCTCCTCGTAGATGATTGTGTGGGTGTGGCAAAAATGTTTATTTACTAATGGCTCTGTTGTGAAGCTAGGGGGCGCCATAACAGGCCAGACTGCCCAGTCACCCATCTTCCACACCCACTTATCCATGGCTGGGTCATGGTGGTCTTCTGAAAGCACAGGGCACAGGCAGGGGGCGTCCTGGACACTCCATCCCAGCAGGAGTGAAAGCCAGTGACAAGGGTGTTTAATAACGGGCTTACAGGCAGAAGTTACCACAGTGAGATCCGTTTAACCTTTTGGCCAAGTTTGCAGTTCAGGAATCATGGGTTTTCATTTCAAGTAAGCAGTGAAAACTGTAAGATGCAAGGTACATATGCTTACTGTGTGAGGCTTTTCAGTCAGCACTTTCATTCGCTACTAAATCCTGTATAGCATGTCCTTATTGAAGATATATTAAATCGCATTTCAAAAAAATACATTAAATTGTATTTTAAAAAAAGACCGCAATATTTGAACATAAAACCACAAGAGTAACATTCATATTCTCACCACTGAAGGGATTATTTCACATAGACTTTTTGTATTGCCAGTTTAAGCCAGTGAAAGCCAGCTTTGGGCCTCCGCAGGCTCAGAAACACAAGGCAGCGGTGGATAGTTCAGGTCCAGGAAGTAAAAATCCAGACCAAGGTTTTATTTCAACCAACCACTATAGTACTCTGTGACTGTGACTCTTTACGCGCTACTGGTTGGTTGAAACAAAATCTTGGTCTGGATTTTTATTTCCTGGACCTGAACTTTCCACCACTGCTGTGTCGTCTTGCTGACAAACAGAAAATAGAGAGTTAACGATGCCCTGCTATTTCCCGAGCTGCAGGTACTGCAGGTACTGCACAGTGCTCAGCAATGGTGCTAAACGCACCCTGAAAGGAACCGCGGCCCCGACATCCTGCTGTGCACCCTGAAAGGAACCGCGGCCCCGACTTCCTGCTGTGCACCCTGAAAGGAACCGCGGCCCCGACTTCCTGCTGTGCACCCTGAAAGGAACCGGCTGTCTGCCTTTTAAGGGACGCCGTTCTCTTCGGAGAAATGCAGGCCCACAATGTGTCCATTTAACACCTGGAAACTGACTTCGCAATCAATTATTTGAGGAAGCTAAAACGTAGGAAAGAAAATTCATTCCTGACAAAATGTGCTTTTTCCTGTACTTTGGAGAAATGTTTTATGGTTACGATGGTTGCATGAGAAATGAAGGAGTGCCTGGGGTCTTTTTGCAGAAAGCACAATAGGGACCTTAGGGTCATGCTGTGCACGGCTGGCTGGCGTAAGGTGTCTGGGCTACGCGTCTTTACACATTACGTACTGCACTTAGGATCTCTGCCATTCCCATAGCTACTCGTCCAATAAGCAGGAGTTCCTGGTAGTATGGGTACTATTCTATATTGCATGAAATATTTAATAATTGCTTAAAATTGTTATTTCCAGTTACGTGTACCACCAGAGGAGCAGTGCAGTGGTCAGCACTGTCGCCTCACACCTCTGGGACCAGTGTTCCAGTGTCAAGGTTCCATGTGTGGAGTCTGCATGTTCTCTCCGGGTCGTCGTGGGGTCTCCTCTGGGTACTCCGCCCCCCCCCCCCCAGTCCAAAAACATGCTCAAGCTGATTGGCGTTACCAACTTGCCCATGGCTGTGTGTTTGTGTGTGTGTGAGTGAGTGCCCTGTGCTGGGTTGTTCCCTGCCTTGTGCCCTGTGCTGGGTCAGTGCCCCATCCTGGGTTGTTCCCTGCCTTGTGCCCTGTGCTGGGTCAGTGCCCCACCCTGGGCTGTTCCCTGCCTTGTGCCCTGTGCTGGGTCAGTGCCCCACCCTGGGTTGTTCCCTGCCTTGTGCCCTGTGCTGGGTCAGTGCCCCATCCTGGGTTGTTCCCTGCCTTGTGCCCATAAGCTCTGGACCCCCTGCGGCCCTGAAAATAGAACAAGTGGTTACAGAAAATGGACGGATGGATGAATGGATATACCACCAGAAACATGCTGCTAATTAAAAGCCTGCATGCAGGCATCAGCTTTAGCTCCACAGCGACGCGGTGCCCTTGGCAGGCAGACAGAGGAACACACTGCCGGAACCCCCCCAACGGGAAGGCTGCAGACTTTATTAGCCGCTTTTTATTATCTGCATTATAATCAGAGTAATTAGATGTGCCACACCATGATGCCCATAATATTGTTTTATTCTTCCCAATTACCCTAAGTGGAGCTGTCTGCTCCTTATCGGCAGTCATCGTCGCTCACGCTCACGCAGCAAGGCTGCCATTACTGCTAAGGCTCTTAGCCAGTGTCTCTGCATTCGCCTTCCTTCTTTAGTAGGACTAACTTTCACCTGCCACGCTGCCCTTCAGCACAGCACAGCATTAGGCAGCCATTACTTATTAGTTAGCGCAGTTAGCACAGTTAGCGGTGTAATGCAGTCTCAGATGGTTTCACGCAGAGTATTTTAGAGCAGCCACCCCGCAATATGGAGGGACACCTGACAGTTTGGATACCGCAGTATGTCTAATGCATACAGAGACTGGATAATCACCTCAAGTGCCCCCAGCGAGCACAGGGCCCAGCTGTTACCTGGTGCGGGGGCTGGGACTGCGGCCCTGGCTTATTGTGTCGCGGCGGACCCCGCATCCATTCGTGTCGCGCCGCGTATAGAAGGTCTCCTGATCGATGGGCGGACTCCCCCTAATTGGTGTTTTGAAAAATGGACCCTGACTCGGTCATATTGCTAAATCTGTCAGCAGCCAATTTCCTCGTCTAAATAAAATAGCCAGGGTATGCCGAAGTCATGGTGACAAATGCCAGGGGGAAATTGCCGAGTAGAAAATATGGCCAGAGGAAACCTATGATGCAAGTACTTCAGCAACAGCCCCTTTTTCTAGCCAGAACTGTGGGAAATAATGACTCCGTGGGCTCCGTTTATCTGTGGTTTCGTGATGGAAGTCCCGACAGGAGAGGAGCTATCTGGAAGCACGATGCATAATTAACGAGGCTAAAGTAAAGTGCAGCGCCTGAAAATGACACTTTCACACAGTTTGGATGGAACCATGCGGAAGGGCACTCTGCTGATTGCAGTTAGGCGCTGATTAAGGGGGCAGGATGTGCTGTGATGAATGTGAAGAGTGGCCCGAAAAAGCCTGGGAGCTCTCACTGCATACAGTTACAAAGTGCATTCACATCTGCATATACTACCAAAGCCTGTGTATATGTGCAAAAACAGATAGCTTAAATATGTACATGTTAAATGTTTCACAGTCCCTGCATCATGGGAGTGGACCTCATTTCGCAGCAGTGTTCATTTTAAAAATGATAAATTGGACTCCGATAGTGGGTAACAAACACCAAACTGAAAAAAAACATGTTAGTGAAATAGGTTTAAGTGCTGCTTTGGTGTATTCCCACCACTAGCCAAGCCAGCTATGATCATTACACTGGCCCTTGTTAGCCAGAACATATCACAGGATTGCAACTTTTCTGCCTGGGAGACACTTGTCTTGCCTGGCACCTTTTTATTCCTGACAGGCACTGTGAGGGCACCACTTCCCACTTATTCCTGACAGGCACTGTGAGGGCACCACTTCCCACTTATTCCTGACAGGCACTGTGAGGGCACCACTTCCCACTTATTCCTGACAGGCACTGTCAGGGCACCACTTCCCACTCAGACATCAGGGTG